GATGTTAGTTTGCTCAGGACCCTCCTGTCCCCCACCTGCTGCACTGTGTCCAAGGAACAGCCCAGGACTGAGCTGGACTTCCTGATGACCTTGTCCAGCTTCTTCCTGTCCCTCTCTGTGATGCTGCTGCTCCAGCAGACCACACCGTAAAAGATGGCTGATGCCACCACTGAGTCATAAAAGGTCTGACCTGAGACCAGGACTAAGGTGAAAGGACTTCAGGTCAGACCCTGAAACCAGGACTAATGTGAGAGGACTTCAGGTCAGAGACCTGAGACCAGGGCAAATGTGAGAGAAAAAGTAATCTAGCGAGATTATAACATAATTGTATCAACATGCATAGTAAAACAATTGTAAAACAAATAAAACAGGACTTTGTACTCTGCAGTGACATGTTTAGGTCCACATTGGAGAGAGCAGTGCTGATGTACTTTACAGTGCAGTCCCTCATTAGAATGTTCTTAGTTTGTGACCTACTTTCTCCTCGCTGTCCTCAAGCCCACCGTTCATGAAAACCTGCATTTTTCCCACAATCCCCTGATGGTCCTATCAAGAGAACACTATCAAAATTCATGAGCACGATGCATGCAGTATATGCCAAACGTATCTATATTTCAGCTGGTTTATCACATGGCCTCATGATACCTACAGCCCAGAGCAGTGTGAAGCGGCTGCAGCCTCACACTCACGCCTGTACATCTATCTTTAATGGGACGACTAATTGACTGAACTCTCTCCAAGAAAGTATCGCACACATTTGATCATCTCTGTCCATTCCACTGCATTTTAATTTAAACACTGCACTCGCCCAATTTGTTTTGTGAAATTATTCAGCTTTAGAAGGATTTGGATTTGAGACATTTCTTCAATTATTTCTTCATTCACACGGTAGCAAATTGCTTGGAAATAGCTGTAGAACAGAAATTAATTATTCCATGAATAAGTTCTCACCATGCGGTTGATGTCAGGCCATGTAACAGTGTTTATAAATAGGTATAACAATTATAATAATATTAATAATAATAATAATAGTTATAATTATAATGCATTGGTTTTATATCATATTTTTTGGAAATTCAAAAGATGCAGCACATGTCATTATTCTTTCACTCCACACACAATGGTGATAAACTACCACTGTAGCCATAGCTGCCCTGGGGCACACTGACAGAAACGACGGAACCAGTATGTGCCTCAACCCCTCTGACCACCACCAGCCATTCACACACACATCAGACTCATTCTAGACAATGTGGGTGAAGTGTCTTGCCTAAGGACACAACGACAGTTTGGCACTTTGGCCAGAGGTCTCCCATCAGAGTACTAACCAGACCCTGTCCTGCTTAGCTAAAGAGGCCTGAAAGGATCTGGCTTTCACATGCAGTTGATAGATCAAAATGTACAGATGGTATTTGAACAATAAAAAACTAGGGTCATCTTGGACACAGCAGCAGCTCCTGATCCTGAGGCTTCAGATCTAAACTGAATAAAACTGTACAGCAGCCTGGGCCCAGTTTGTCTCAAAAACATTAACGATGAAACAAAAGTTAAGAACAGGGGGTAATGAACACACTCACGACTGTGTCAGATAATAATGTACTTTATTTATAAGCTCTGTATAAGCTGTGTTCCCACTGTTGCCGCATCAGCGCAGCGTTGTTGCGTTTTGGACGTCATCATGTCATTTTCATCCCCTTTATTATTCCATTTCTGAGTCGGGGGGTGACAATCAGAGCTGCCCCAAATCATACAGAACCGGGCCCTCACTGATCCTCCTGCGGTGGGTCTACAGGAGGATAACTGTGGTCTTTCACTGGAGGTTTCGGGCAACGTGGGTTGCTGAAGCCCCCGGCTCAATGTGGGTCTTGCCCAGGGACACAACGACAGCAGACTTCAGTGGGAGCAGATGGTTTGTGGGGGGATCGAACCCACGATCATTAGGTTCAGTGACCAATGCTCAACCCACTGTCACCCCAATGTGTCAAACCAATGTTCATTTTGGACGTATGTTTATTCAAATCAGCCGCATGAGTGAGTGAATAGTAAAACCAGCGCACTGGCCTGTGATGTCGCATGTGGAGGTGGTGGCTGGGCTTTGATGCACACAAGTTTGAGCAGCTTTTTGTGGCTTGCATAAAGTTCTTCCACATGAGTGCAGCTCCGTGACATGTCTGAGTTCAGAGATCCAGAGAGTGACATATTTGTGCCAAAAGTTCCTGATAATAGAATAAATGACAATTTATACTTTACACTCTCTCTGGAAAACTGCAGTAACCGCTCAAATCTCAAAGCCCTGACGAAGCTTCTGTAAAACGAAATGTGTCGGTGTAAAATAGAAAAAGAATTATGTGTAGAAATAAAAAGGAAGGGAGGTGTTCTGGGCTCGTCCCACTGCGAGGAGACCGCAGCATAAGTTAGAGCGACTGTGTCTCTCAGCTGGACAGGGAACACCTCGGGATTCCCTTTGGATGAGCTGGAGGAAGAGTGAAGAGAGGGAAGTCTGGGCGTCTCCGAGCGCTGCCACTGCAACCCGGCAACGGGTAAAGAGGAAGAAAATGAATGGAACTACAGTATATTCCAGTATATTCAATTGTGGCAAAACTTTCAGTAACATTTTGACAGAAGCCATCAAAGACAAAACTAAAACAGTGTTTTGAGTCTGCACTTTGCAAAGATGACGTTTATTTACCTTTTTGAGCTTGGTTTGTGACCATTGTCTGTGAAAGGCGTTATATAAATAAACATTACTCACTTACTTACTTACTTATCCAGAATTCCATTTTTGTTTTGCAGGACAGTCTCTTGGGAAGTTGTTCTGGGATATCAAAAATAGCCGGTCCGTCTGTCAGAGAAAATCCGTCTCTCAATCTGGACCACCCCGAGGTTTCTCATTTTACCACTGTTTCATCGAGCTCCTATATAGACCAATGGCTTCTATGTGTTTAATATTTCCTGTCTTTCAACTGTTTGATTCTCTGATCTGCTGATAAGAAATCGACAGCAACGTAATGAACTCCGAGATGACTGCTGTTGTGATGTAATGCTACACTAACATACATTGAATTGAATGGATTTATCTTTGTTAGTCGTTGTTTGGTCAGAGTTTCTTCAAAAAACAACACCGGACGGACACATTTGTAATTCTGCATTGGCGCCTGAAGAGTTAATACAATAAATTGCTTCTATTGCCCAATCAAGAGAACTGTGGGTGATTTCTCCCCGGCTCGTAATCACTGTTTCCCGACCCTTTCTCCTCAAAGTTTGCACTGATTGACTCCTCTGTGGGCCGAGTGGAACAACATCAAACTGAGACGTGTTTTAGTCCGAGAATGGCCCCCGCTGAAAGATTAAGGCTATGCTCACACTCATAGCAGCCGTCCTCCTGTGGACTCACCACCTGCAGAGGGTCAGTGAGGGGCTGGTGCTATGAGACTTGGGTGGCATCTCTGACTGCCACCCCCCTGACCCAGAAATGGATTAAAGGGTAGAAAATGGATGGATGGATGGCATACAAGAGCAAGGCCTTTCTGTGTGGAGTTTGCATGTTCTCCCTGTGTCTGCTCCGGTTTCATCTACAACTAAAAACAGGTATGAATGTAGTGAAGGAGAGAATGAATGGTGTTTTGATCAAAATAAAAAATGAAATACAAATTTTAACAATGTAAAGCGCTTTGGGTGACCTTGGTCTGTAAAATGCGCAATATTACTTACTTATTTATCACCTAAAACCCTCCATATACCAAATAACCTAAAAAAATATTATTGAAATTAATTGTTTGTTTAAATTAATGTAATTTGTTTAAATTTGTTAAAAAGGGGGATTGTGTATACATTTGACCAAAACAATGCCTCTCCAGAAGATCTTTATCTGCAACATAGATAATTATTTATCTATGTTGCAGATAAAGCCTAGGATTGTTTCTATCTTGTTTTGTTCAGCACTTTGAGTTTCCTTATATGTGAACTGTGCTATAGAAATAAACTTGCCTTGCCTAAATGGTTGTTTGATTAGACATTCTGTATGTTCCATGTGATTCTGTAAATCTTTGTCTGAGTCATAAAACCTCTACTCAGCATGTTTTGGTTCAGGTTTGATTCAAAAAGCTTGTTACAGGATTATATAGTTCATCAAATATTGTGAATTTTGTTTGTGCCAACATTGACTCCTGCACTTTCTCTTTACTTTCTCGTGTGAGTTTTATTTTACCATTGAATCATACCAGTGACACCTCCTGAGAATTATACTCATAAATCTTGACCTTGCTGGATCCTGGAATGATACAAAATGCTTGTACCAAAATGAACTTGTACGCACACCTTGATCTAAAATGTTTATTGTATGAAAAATATATAATGAAATTGGAACGATATGTACAAAGAGCTTGTGGTGAGGAGCAGAGCGGTGTTTCCTCTGTGTCTCCAGGACGAGACATCAGTGCCAGGTCAGAGGGACGGGCCCCTTGAAGACCCAGACTTCACAACAGTTCTGCAGACACAACAGCAGCAGCTCTGCTCTCAACACAAGAGTTTACAAATATAACATCTGTACATCCAATACTGTGCTCAAAGAAATAAATATATCACTGTGGAAGGCTCTGCTGACACTAAGTATTGTGCCAAAACGGCAGTGTGGTGCTTAAAAGTAATCTTCTTTTCAAGATGCCACTTTGCACAACAGCATTTGAAATGTTGTCAGAGGAAAAGTCACTATTGCAAACGAGGAAACATTGTTGTAAGAGACATTAAAGGATTTGACCTGCTGTTTGAGGAGGGCGCATTCAAGTCCAGTCAGTATAACTATTCAAAGTTTGAGAACAAGTTTAAACTTAGTTCACTAACAGTTTTTAACATTTAGAAAACTCAATAACAAGCTTGACATCTTGATGACAAGAAAGACATCTGTAAAAAGCATCTGTAAAAACTAATCAGTGCAGTAAGACAAACGAGCCGAAATGAAAAACAGAATGAAAGAGTTCAGGTTCTGTTGCTGTAAATGTAAACTAGACTTCTAGAGTGGTGCTGGTCTGGGAGCTCTGCCTGTACTGGTCCAGCCATGCTTTGAGCTCAGAGATGCGGTATCCCTCTGGTCCTCTGCCTCCCTGGTACACGATCCTCCCCTTGAGCAACACGTACAGTCTGTCGAAGAACGCTCCGTACGCGGCATTGGACGCGTTCTCCATGCTGTCCACCACCACCACACATCCGGGCACCTCAGTGCGCATGAGGCGCGCTGCATGCAGCCGGTCCTCCAGACACCTGTGCCGCGGGATCTGGTAAGGAGCGTCCGTGCTCCTCCATCCGTCAGACGGATGCGCCTCTTCGATGTAGACGAGCACTGAGTCCGCGATGTCCGCGTTCTGCTGCACCACGCTCTCAAAGGCTTTGAGGCGCGCCATGAACGGGGGTCAGGTGCAGCTGCCGAAGTTGAGGATGAGAGGTCTGTTCTCCATCGCATAGTCCAGGATGCGCTTGTGCTTCTGGTCTTCCAGTTGGACCACTTCAGTGTTGGGCGCCCCCTGACCCAGGTGCGCCTCTTTGAGAAAGTCCAGCTTGTGTCCGTGCCACACCGCTCTGAGTGACTCCAGGCTGAACAGGCGGTTGGAGTCAGAGATGCACAGAGGGGGGTCTAAACAATCATCCTGCTCCTTGTGGAAAAACACTCTCCTCCTGATGCACAGAAAGTCCAGGAGCCAGAAGAGCAGCGCGGTCATGAAGAAGCGCGGCAGGAGGACCAGACACACCACCGCGCTCTTCACCGCCTTCATTGTTTTCATCAGTTGCGGAGTGAGCCGCAATGTTCCCGCTCGTTCCACTAACTTTGTCCTGGTTTTATAGCACCGGCACACCCCGCCTCCGGAGAGGGGCCGTGGCCTCACATGGCGGGGATTACCTTCCGTCAACTCCACAGCTTTGAGTCATGGCCAAAAGAGCGCAAGAATGACGCTCCGCAGATATGTCCGCAGGAATTCAAGAACCCTCAGATAAATAAGAGAGACCGATGTGTGAGTGACTGCCCGTGCGTAACAATTGCGTAAAAGTACAACGTGATGCGTGTAACTTATTTGTTATGGTTTTGTGTCAAGTGACAATCGCTCTACAAGTGGTTTGTTGTATATGTTTTTGGCATGCATGAATATTCTTGTATATACTTTTTGTTGTTTTTCTCTATTTTTCAATGAACGAAAAACAAACTATACACGTTTTCTCAAACCATAAATGAAACGTGACTAGTTGTGTGGCCGTGTTGTATTTTTCTTCCACTCGATAAAAGGATCCACCAATCATCCTCAATGACTGAAGGTAAACACCAGATAAAACCCTAAACGATTTAATGCAGAAAAGTGACTGAGGTGTCAATGTGGATGCAGTGTCACTTCTCCGCCGCCAGATGTCTCTAAACCAAAACAGAAAGAAGGTCTTTGACATAGAGCAGGGGTGTCCAAACTTTTCACTGCGCGGGCCACTTTACTTCACCAGACTTGTCCAGGGGCCGAGGGGATTGGGGCTGTCCTGGGCTTTAAAATTGAGTATTATACATATTTTTTAATCCACAAATTCACAGCTAAATTAACGTCATCAATGACAATTTGAGACACAATCAAAAACAAATGTCAGAAAATACAAATAAAGTTATAGCCAAATTCCAGAGGTTCTGATATTCAAAGGACCACTACAGTGAAGCTGAGGTTGACTGGAAAACTCTATATTTCATTCAATTAAATGTATGTTTGTATCGCCCTAAATCACAACAGCAGTCCTCAGTCGATTCACCAAAAACAGAAGCGATTGGTCTGGGGAGCGCAATGACCAATGTATATAAATGTTAATAAATGTCAAAAAATGTCCTTAAATCACCGGATCATCACATTGTCCCGGGGGTCTCAAACTCAATCTATCCAGGGGCCACATCAGGTCAAGTCTGGGTGAAGCTGGGCCGCATTAAGGGGTTTGTTTATCAGGCATGTGTGTGTGTCTCTTATTGCATTCAGGGGCCGCTCTAAAATTAACCCTTTAAAGGTTTCCTCAATCATTTGGTGGATCACTTTTTGAGTCATTATATTTACTTTAAGCTTGGAACTGAAATCTACTTCTTTGGGGCATCTCATCTGGTTTTAGGGACTTTTACCATCGAACTGTATCTCAACCATTTGGTAAAGGCTTAAAATAAATAATAAAATAAAAACTAGGGGGTTAAAAAAATAAAACTAAAGACACGTTACTAGTGTTAATAGTCCTCCGACATCTTTGAATTTAATTCTAAGTTGAAAAAAAATGAAAAATAAATACATTGCTTTCTTCAAGGAGCAAATATCAAAAGCCAAGTGGAGCAGTCGATGGCCTGGTCAGGAGAGCAAGAAACACAAACAACCAATTTCAGCTCAGGACAGGTGAGAGCCTAGTTCCGACGATGGACTCTTGTCCTGGCTAAGAACCAGGGCAGTGAGCCTTCAGAATAAAAAACCTGGCTTGGGCCCATAGCCTGGTCGTACCACATCATCGTACACATTACGTTTCGTACTAAGGTCTGGCTTTGCTCCCTTGAGCTCTGTTAACAGATGGAAAGGGTTAACTCTTTTTCAGATTGAAACGGTTGGAAATGATAAATGACCGGAGGTTACAGATGGATAAGGCCAGGCTAGGGCTGCCACAACATAAACATTAGAATTCCTGGGATCCATTTTTACCATCCATCAAAGTTTTTTGTGTCTGTTGTTCTCAGTTTTTCTTGATTTTTTAACTTTCGTGGCCTTACCCTGGAGGAGCACCTGAGTAGCACCTTCATCCTCTGTTCCTTTCAACTCGTATATTAATATTTTAATATCTTTAATGTAGGGAGATTGGCCCCTGAATTGAGGCATGCTTCGGGGCAATATCCTGTCAGGATTATTTGGAGATTCATCACTTATCATACAGAGAGACCCACTGCAGCTGTCGGTGGAAATGTGAGGCCTCAGGGATAGCACTTGATTAACACTAGTCAAGTGTATTTATTTTTTAAAGTTTTGTCAGTAGCCTACGGTTCATGTAACTCAAATATAGACACACAAATGGACAATTTAAAATCATTTTGTTTCTTTAACAGTGATTTTTTTTCTACAACATCACGTCATGGACTACGCCATATGATAGTAGCAGTACCAGTAGTATTGTATTGGCTGGTCTGGAGGGCCAGCCTAGCCCTTGTCAGACTGTACAATAAGTCACTTTAAGTCACTTGCATTAAAAAAAACCTGCACTACTATTGACACTGTTTCTTGATTGCCACTTTTTATTGTACATAATGTATCCTACATTTAACATGTTTGCACATTTCTTTCTTTTGCACAATCTTGAGTGATTCTATCCATGTCAGATGTGACATGTACATTTCTCCTGTGTGAGATCAATAAAGTCTATCTTATCTTATCTTATCTTAGTGGTAGTAGAAGTGGTAGAAATAGTAGTAATAGTAGCAGTAGTTGTAGTAGTAGTAGTAGCAAAAGAGCTCAGTGAGTTTTTTCTAGCAGGTGAGGCCACATTTAGAGGCCAAGTCCCTCTCCCTCTGGGCCCTCTCCGGGTCGCTCCCCTCCCTCTGGGCCCTCTCCGGGTCGCTCCCCTCCCTCTGGGCCCTCTCCGGGTCGCTCCCCTCCCTCTGGGCCCTTTCCGGGTCGCTCCCCTCCCTCTGGGCCCTCTCCGGGTCGCTCCCCTCCCTCTGGGCCCTTTCCGGGTCGCTCCCCTCTCTCTGGGCCCTCTCCGGGTCGCTCCCCTCTCTCTGGGCCCTCTCCGGGTCGCTCCCCTCCCTCTGGGCCTTCTCCCCCGGGTTGCTCCCCTCCCTCTGGGCCTTCTCCCCCGGGTCCCTCCCTCTGGGTCACATCCACAGGAGCTGGCACCTGTAAGTCCACCTGCACAGATAAGCGAGGCAGGATTCTCTGGAAATAAGACCAGGACCGTGAAGCATTTTTTTCTCAGTCAATCCCTCAGGGCAAAGATACATATTTATATAAAAAAAAAAGTGTAGTAATGATATTAGAAATAGTAGTTGCTGAGTAGCTGAGTGGATAGCACTCTCGTTTCTCAGCAAGAAGGTCCTGGGTTTGAATCCTGGTCGGAATAGGCCCTTCCTGAGTTGAGTTTGCATGTTCTCCCCCCCGTGTCTACAAAGGTTTCCTCCGGGTGCTCCGGTTTCCCCTACCATAAAAACATGTACAATAGGTTTGGTACATGTATGCGCCTCCTGATCGGCGACCCCGCTCTCTGTGTGGAGTGAGAGGCAAATGCCCAAAATTGCAAAGTGCTTTGTGACTGTGATCTGTGAAAGGCGCTATAGTAAATAAAGATTCCTTACGGTCGTGGAAGAAGTAGTAGAAGCCGTAGTAGAATTTGTAGTATTGTAGAAATAGTAATGGAGCTTTCGCGAAAGTTCACCGTGGTAGACCCGGCTGTTGCTGCCAGGCCACAGGCTGCTATTCCTCGACTCATCAATACCAGCAACGCCCACACCCAGTCAACCAATAACCACCAGGACAGCAAGTTAAAAGCCGGAGACGCCCACTTCCCGATCTTCTGAAGTCTGCAAGCCGCCGCCGCCCCACCTCCTCCTTCTCGCATGAAGCGTGTTGCCTACTGCCTCTGCCGTCACCAGTGCCTAGGCCCCGGGGGGATCATGCACGCGAGCAAGCGCCGTGCTCAACAGCATCCCGCCCGGGCCTAGGGCGCCAAACATGCTCAATCAATAAACATGCTTAAATCTAATAAGTCTAATGCGTTTTCCTCATGGGTCTCTCCAAGGTGAAATAGCAGTAGTAGAAGTGGTAGCAGGAGAAATAGAAGTAGAAGTTGTAGAAATAGATGTAGTATTAGCAGTACAAGTAGTAGAAGTAGTAATATTGTAGTAATAGTAGTCGTTGTAGTAAGAGTATACACTCCACTCTAAAATATACATTATGTGTAGTGTGTTTGTTTGTGTGTTTGTGTGCGTGTGCTTGTGCTTGTGTGTGTGTGTGTGTGTGTGTGCGTGTGTGTGCGTGTGTGTGTGCGCGTGCGTGTGTGTGTGTGTGTGTGTGTGTGTGTGTGTGTGTGTGATTCTTGCAGAGTGTGGTGCTGCACATGATTATTGTGGAGACGGGGGTGAGACGAGGCTTCAGCTCCACCACGTCCCTGTTTCATATTACGTACAACATTCTTGAGTTCTGCTGAAGTTCTGTAGCAGTAAAACATGTGCTGGACACCACTGCTATAGAGTTTATTACAGGGCAAGTTTACTTGTATAGCACAATTCACACACAAAGCAACACAAAGTGCTGAACAAAACATGATAGAAACAATCACACAAGGTATTACAATTATAAAAAAATCACTAATTAATAATCACCGACTCTTGCAGAATGTAGCTGCATAAATCTGAATGCCAACATACTCATTATATAATGTAAACATTTACCCAGTGTTTTTTTTTTCTGACAATAAGAACCTTTAACCCACATTTTTCCACAATACAAACATATACATATTTTTTTCTTTTTACAAAGTGGTAGAAAAATTTGAAGTTGAAGTAAAATAAGCCATGATTTCACTTTTTTCTATATCCTAAGATCCTCACTCCAGCTTCACCAGGGTCTGCACCTCAGGGGAGTCTCATATTCGTATATTGACTTGGATTCTCTCCTGCGAATCTCATCAGCCGGGGTCAGAGCGTCAGACCATATCTCCATGGACCAGGTTCATATCACTCATACGTCTGTCAGGACTAAGTGCCAATCAACCAGCTGCAAACTATTTACTTTACAGAACCGTTACTCATTCAAGGCCAGGCTTAAAACTGTCTCTTTAATTTAGCATATGGCTAGGTAGGTAAGACTCAGGTAACACTTAGAAATACCACCTTATTAAGTCTAAAAACACTGGGAGAAGTATGGTAACTTGAGCAATATCCTCTCCTCTTCCCGCTTTATCTTTATCATTATGACTTCAGATGTAGTCTCCTTCATCTGCACCTGAGGACTGTCTTCACCGGCCCGGACTCCTCAATCCTGGATTGCGTGGTCTCTGTCCTCCTTCTACAGCAGTGGTCCCCAAACTGCGGCCCACAGGCCGGACCCGACCCCCCTCTACATTTGCTGAGAGAGTATTTTCATATGGGCTTGTTCACACTAAAGGGCACAAAAGTGTGACAAAAGGCAAAAAATTTGATTTTAATAATCCAAAGATATTTAATGTTTTTCATGTGTCCAAACACCTCCTCTGTCCTTTAGATGTTGCTAGAACAAAACTGTTTTATACATTAGACAAGTTTCCTATAGTGGCCCTGTTTATTTTATGTAACGGACGTGATGATTTGACGGAATGAGCTGCGGAAGTTTGTTACGTATTTTTAGATGTTCACATTTGATTCAGAGATTCTTTATTTTTTGTACATAGAGTAGACACAAAGTGATGATTTCATATAATCAAACAATTAACTCATTGACGGCCATTGACGTGTTTGTCTGAGACCGGTGATTTCTGTCAAACTCCCCTCTATTCGACTGGGGATAACAGAAGAACAAAACTAGCGAGAAACACACTTATTTTGTTCTGATGAAAGTAGACAGTCCAGTCTTTCAGAATATGGTTTCATATTTCACATAGACATAGCATACAATATTTTGTGGGTCTTGAAAATCAGTGAAATCTTCAAAAATGGCTAGCAGTCAATGAGTTAAATGTGAAACCAGACCAGATATTTTTTTTCTCAAGTTTAATTGTTAGAGAAAAATGAACGAAAACCATCACGTCCGTTACACATTTTTCAAGGGTCATTTAGGTTTTTAACAATTCCTTTTTATATCAAGTGATTTACTGATGTTGTCTTAACTATGTAAATCTTGTGCGATTTCATCTGCCGCTTTTTCAGACTGAGGACAATGTCACTGAGTCACAGTAGAATGGTCCAACCAGAGGCTGATTTGGTCGTTTAAAATGTCAACAAAAATATATTTGTCAATATTTCCTTTGATTTTATCCACACTATCTCTGATCTGTCTGTGCTTGAAATCTTTTTTCTAATCTATGATAGTAATTATTGTTTTTGAGTTATAATCTTTTAAAGTCCAGATACTTTAATTGACACTTTACTGTGAACACACCCATGTGTGTATTTGATAATAAAGATGGACTTTTGGAATAAAAAGTTCCTTAGTTATGAACTTTTTTCATTATTAACTATTAGTTAGTAACTATTTCAACGCTGCAATCATCACACTTTTTCTGTTACAAACTGACCCGGCCCCCATCGAAGAAGGGAAAAGTTATGTGGCTGTCCCTTCAGGATTTTGTGGGCAATTTTTGTACTTGTTGCTAATACTTGATTTTGTGGGACATTTTTCCAAAAGTTGCAATGACAAATTATGATTTTCCCCCTTGTAAAACATACTTTATGAACAATAAAATTAAAATTTGCAATAAAAAATAAATGCACAAATAAAGTAAATTATATAATTTACCAAAAAAACACATGCTTTAGTGACCTAAAGCAAGATATAATTTTGTTAACAAGATGCGCTCTGATTGACTGGTCACCTGGAACCGCATACGCAGAAGGAGGAGAGAATTTTAGAAAGGCGCACGAACCAGGTGTGTACATCCTCCTTCTTATTAATATTAATGCATTTCCAGTGTTCGGACTGTTGGATTCTCTGGCTTCACCATTGAGGTAATTTTGTTAAGTCCTCTGAGACAACTGCTGTTTTGATTTACAAAAATAAAGAGAATATAATTGAATAAACTAGTTTGAATACTTTCTTTGAGTGTGTCCAGATTGAAGTGTGTGAGACTGGAACAGGTCCAAGCCGACGCTATAGTGTATGTAGGTCTGCAGCAGAGTCCTCACCTGAACCAGAGCAGCTAACAGGTTTAACATACCTGGAAATCTCATTAAATCTGCCCCGGAGTAAGATCACTCACCAGACACATCTCAGCTTTTATCTGGCAGGTTACTGTGGGTTCAAGGGCAGAGGCACTTTGAGAAATTATCATTATTGGATTTTTCTTCTGGATATTAATTGTTTCGCTATCTGTAAGAATGACATCATCCTCCAGCCAAAGTAGACCGAGCTAATAGGGCCCACTGCTTCTGACCCGGTTCCTATAGGAAGAATGTATGTGTGGAATGCCATTACACTCACCGATGAAGAAAGCATGAATTCAAAGATAAGATGTTGTAGCGTCAGTAGGGCTGTGGCAAAAACAAAAGACTGAACGTTTGTGATCTCAATCAGAGACACGAATCACGGGGCAGTAACAGTTCATGTTTGGGCGAAAGAACTGAGACAGGGACACAACGTTTGTTTTTATTGCTTCATTTGACTTTCACTCTGTTTATCTTGAATATTTAAAATACATTATTTGACAGCGCAAGTCCCGTAAGTTGTAAATCAAATCTCAATAAAAAACTGGTGGCCAGTGGAGTTAAATAATTAATACAACGTTTAAACTAAATATCTTATTTTACTCTGAAATAGGGCGATGCACCAAGTTGTAGTTTTGGCAAAGTATAGGTAATACACATCTGTCTAATTTGGTCACACCAAACGGACAGGACATCGAAATGGTAAAGTCATACAAATACCTAGGAGTCCACCTGGACCACAGACTGGACTGGTCAGCTCAGGCCAATGCCATCTATAAGAAAGGTCAGAGCACTTCCTGAGAAGACTGAGGTCCTTTGATGTGAGCAGTCAGATGTTGCACATATTTTACCAGTCTGTTGTAGCTAGTGCCTTGTTCTTCGGGTTTGCGTGTTGGGGCGGCAGTCTGACCTCGAGAGACAGTAACCGGCTCGACAGGCTGATCAGGAAATGTGTCTCTGTGATGGGGTGTGGACTCTGTGTGGACTCTGTGGGAGCTGTGCTGGAGAGAAGGATGAGGGCTCTAATGCAGGGCATCCTGGGTAACTCCAGACACCCTCTGCATGACACTGGCCTCTCAGAGGAATCATCAGGCTCCTATCACTGCGCTGCCGAACGGAACGTTTTAAGAGATCCTTTCTTCCTTCGGCTGTCAGACTGTACAACAAACCTGGATGAGTCTTCTGCTGCTGGACACTTGAATTTATCCTACGTGATCAATAAAGTATCTACAGTATCTATCTACTTTCAATTCATTATTTTTTTCTTACCATACTTGTAATTTTCACCGTTTCAATCACTTTTCTTAAGGCGTCGTCACTGTCCAGGTGATGCTCAAATAATGGAATGTCAAACAAAAATAGTCCTCATAGTGTTAGCTGAATGAGGATAAACGTCATTGTTTATTTGGTTGGGACAGTGCACGTTCATGAACACCTGTCAGAACTGTAGCCGTGGGCTGCAGTTGTCCCGCAGTCACACTCACAAACACACAATCAATCCATCACCCTGAACTAATGTTCATATTTTAGTAATAGGGGAAACCCGGAGCATCCGGAGAAACCTACGCAGGGTAAAATGCAAACTCTGCATAGAAAGGCCTTGAGGTGGAATCAAACCAATATCCTAATATGGGCATTTGTTCTATTGAGTTAGCGTGGCAGATGTGTTCCTAAGGTGGTTGCTATGGGCAACTGGAGTTTATCCTGTGAATGAAGGCTGTCAATCCTTACATGGCTCATATCTGGATTTGGATGGATGATAATATCAAATTAAACACACCAGGATCATAGAGAGTGTGACACAAACAGTTACTGACCACCAGGAGTTTACTTTTCAATGTAAGTCAAAAGAAGCCAGAGTAATTTGGGCCAAGATTTTCAAGAGCACATTCTTATTTTCCTTCATTGAGCTAGCAGTTAGCATCATTCATCTATATACTGTACATGATCGTGTCTATGATAGTGGCATGCACACACAGGCACCTCAGCCCAGTGTCTCCCCCTGTTGCTTCTTTACAAGAGCTCACATCACTCTTTCACTTCTTTGCATCATCATGTTTTTCCCAAAAGGCCCAGAATAGTTAAAAAATGCTGGCTCCCATAAATTCCACAATATACGCGAGTGTGAGGACACAGAGAACACGCAGTACAGGCTGTTATATATGCACTGTCATGTCACTTGGCTCTTGAATCTCGAAGAAGCAAAGGTTTTGTGAGCTCAAGGCGTCTGCGGCGGTGCAGCTCATGAGTGCGGAGGCTGCAGAACACTCTAATGACCGGTGTGTCTGATTACCCCTTTCTTCACAGCCTCACATTAGAGTGGCCTGATGTACGGCCAGCTGCTGCAACACGGCTGTCGGGGGAGGGGCTGCGCATGACGGATGGACGTACTGCAGACCTACCGTTGTATATTGAGGATGAAAAGCACGTTCCAAGATAAACAGAAACAGGAACATTCTAAAGACATTCTAATCTCTGTTGACTGAGAATTACTCCAAACTGTACACTGTGTTCAAGGAAACAGGTTGAGCTTTATTGTACCTGAAGAAAAATGTGTGTGGCGTCATCTGCATGACAAAGCCAGATGCTGTCAAATCTGTGAAGATTTGACAGCATCAAATCTTCACAGCATCAAATCTTCACAGGCCCTGCCAGGCCCTGCCAGGGCCTGGCAGGGCCTGTACCAACTGTTGTTTGGTCCTTTGGTTAGAGACTTCACCCACACGGCCTAGTGTGAGTCTGGTGTGTATGTGAATGGTTGGTGGTGGTCAGAGGGGCCAATGGCGCATACTGGTTGCCTCGCTTCTGCTAGTTTGCGCTGGGGCA